CCACTTGTTTAACCCCGTGGCACTTAGAGGCACAAATGATGACTGGAATCCATTATCGGGGTGAAATCTCAATGGCAGGAGACCAGACCGGGTACTTCTAAAGAAGTCTAGAAACTCAGATGCTGAAATCCAGTTCCACTGGCTCCCTCTCTCAAATCTTGACATCTAGCAAAGTGGGCCCCTGAAAACCCAAAGCTCACTCTACTGCACATTGAAACAACTACAGTAAAGAAAGAAGAGGACGTCTGACTTCTCTTCCCTCTCAGCTCCGCCAGGTCGAGTGTCCACCCGTTGCTTCTCCTGTCAGTCTACCCATAGCAGCTTCTCAGTAGGACACTGGGAACAACTAGAGGACTAACCTGTAGCCTCACCTCCTCGTTTTCCAGCTGCTTTGTTTGAGAACTGTGTAGAAAACTGATGGTTCCTTTTGTCTTTAATGCCACTACGTTAGCATATGTTCCTTTAAATCCCTGTTTTCATCAAACCACTCCCTCCCTGCACTCCAAACACAGGGGGCCTCCACTCTCAGGGAAGGGAAAGAACAGCATGCTGACGACCAGACACAACGCAGTTTTAATCTTTGTGTGTGTGGTGAAAGGAGGATTCCTTTTGTGGAGAGCGGTGGCGGAGTGATCCAATTAGGATACACAAACCAAAGAAAGGGACTGAATGAAAAGTATCAGCTGAATTTTCAGCCACTTTTCCTAGATGTCTCCAAAGGTGCCCGGCACTGGATCAGGACTCTGCACAAGCCACGACAGCTGCAGCCAGCTAGGCAAGATGCTTGAATGATTTAATTCAGCTAGAGTTAAACACAACTCAGCAACAGAGTAAAATTCACCTTTCCCAAAGTAGACCTCAAAAGATACAGAAAAGTAAATTGAAGAATCCAGAGCCATGGACGTAAGCCTTGGCTTCAGAGATCAGAAATGGAAGCAGGGAAACTTAGGCGCAGTGGTCAAATCCTGATCTTTGCCTCCAACATCTGACGGCACTACAGCCAACAGTGTCAGCCCCATTCACTCACTGCGTGAACTCTGAAGCTCAGGGAGAAGGAAACAGTATTCTCTGGGTACTTATATGGACGGGTTAAGTGCTACAACCAGCACAATTGCTCCGATGAAGAACTGCAATTGAGGAAGGCTTCTGCCCGTGCCGCTAAGATGGCTGTCGCCACAATACAGCCTTTACACCGCTTCATTTTCTCCTCTCTGAAGACCAGCTCCTTACTTTTCCCAGGGTTTAAAAATCATGTTAACAATAAGCAAATACAGCATGGCCAGATGCCTTTCGTGGTCAGATGGTTCATTGTTTAAAAAGCTTCAGTTTAAAATCCAAAAGATTGTTAACAGATGCAGTTTCTGGCTGGGGACTGGGAAAAACCTCTCTTAAACAAAAGAGTATGTTGTGATTGGAACTAAAAAGGGAATTACCTTTAAAGATAAGAAGCACAAACATTTCCTATTTGAAAATACCCCCAGCCCCACCAACAAAACCTTTCTGTGGACCTTTCATGAAAGTCGAAAAATTTGACAGTGGATTGCTGCATACATGAAACCATGGCTGACCAACCAGTCTGGTCATTTTTACAGATTTGTCTGGACTTCCAGCATGGCCACAACATCCATCTCTTCTCTCCCTCAGATTACTCAATTAGGCAAAATTCCAATTAATTTCTTTCCATTTCTTTGAGTCCAGAAACACTTTTGCTGCTTTCATTTTGGCTCTGGAAATGAGTTTTCAACCAGAGACTTAGATAGAGAAGTTTGAGAAATGAACGCAGAGCTTGATAAGCAGACAGCCACTGCTGGCATTCAAAGTCACCGCTGGATGGAAAGAGCCACTTGGCTGAGAAAGGCCTGGCTCTGTCTTGAGTTCCCAGTCTCATTTGCCTCCACGACTGCTGTGCGCTTTTCCACAGAAAGCCTGCTTGTCACCAACTCCTGCATCTGCTTCTGTGGGCTGTGCGGGCCCTTACGCTGCGGCTTCACTATGTGGGAGAATGCTGTAGTGTCCTGGGTTCTAATCTTGAAAAAAGGAAAATCTGAAGGAGCCATGGGTGTGTAGGTTTCCCTCGGGCTGAGAAATGCATATGGTTTGGCTTGCTGGTGACAAGTCTGATTTGAAAAGGCTACACAAGATAGGGTTCAAGGAAAATAATCTGCTCTTAGTATTAAGGATGGCCACCACGGGCTCCATTCTGAGAATGGGCAACCTGTTCCTTAGGAGATCACATTCTCTGAAGAGAAGTAAACAGCATGCTCCTTTCCTGTTTAGGTTTTTGTGTTCTCTTACTTATTGTATTATTTCCCAATTCATTACAGTGCCCAAAAAGGTCAGTTTCAGACCAAAGGCATAGTATGGTTTTAACAGTCTGAGAAGCTCTAATCAGACAACCTTTAGTCAAGCAATGCTACCATTCACTTTAAAATGAGGCAGATCGATAAGCCCAGGGGATTCTCCAAAGAGCTAAAATGGTTTTCCCACTCAGCCACGCCACTGCTAAGTCACATAAGGAATCCCAGCTGCTGGAGTGAAGCAGAACTGCATTGCCACAGATCTGTGCGATCTGGCCAGGTACTAGCAGGAAGGGCCCATCCATCCAGAAATGGGATTCTGAGGCCAGTGGCCATATCTGTATCCATCCTCCCACAAAGAGCCAACCCCACCACGTGCACAGGAGACAAGGTTTGCAAGGGGATTTGATAGGCCTGGAAATTGAAAAACGAGCAGCAGCTGCGAGCCCGAGGTCACTGCTATCCTCCAGGGTTTGCCTTTTCTAATCTAAGGGGCAGTAGTTTCCATGATTAACTTTCAATTGCTGTCAAGGGTGTAATAAAATCTGGGAAAGAAGAAACTTTCCCCTCGGTAAGCTGCTCCCATTTTCCTGCCCTTTCCTTTCCTCCACTGCATATTCCCAATCCCACTTCACATTGTTTCCTAATTTTGAGAAAAAAATGTGCACTTGGATGAGCCAAAATAGACAATTTCCTCTGTGTGCACGGGCACTTGAGGACTTTTCTTTCTCAGCTCTGGGGCCCAGGTCTTTAAGACGGCTGCAGGAAAAGTTCCCTCGTTTTCAAAGACCATATAATACCAGCACTTTCAGAACTGGACACGTTTTAGCTTCATTTTAAAATTCTTTCCCAGAGTATTTTATCTGTTTCCTGAGCCAGGACAATCAGTTCAACAAAAGAGAGGTTTTCCAGTTAAGATGTGTACAAAGAGAAAGAGGAGAAGAGGACATATTCATTCTCAGACACTTCCTACTGGGTACTACTGGGTTAGCAACACTTAAGACTCCAACTTGGTCTGATCTGATAGCAATCGGCTTGGAAATCACACTCAGAGGTTACAGCTAGACACGTCTCTCAGCAAAGGCTCCTGGAACCGAACTCCACATATAGTTTCATCAATTATAACTGCTCAGGTGGAAAATTAAATGCACTTTAAATTTTTTGACAGTTCAGTATGACACTAACGTTAACTCAGTGGTTGACTCATCATACATTCATTTCAAAGTACCAGATGCTGGAGTTACAAAGATGAGTGAGACATGGCGCCTCATACCCAGAGGCATAAAGTCTGTTTGGAGAGGGGCCCATGCAGGCTCACCACTGAAGAGATGCTCCACGGAGGGGCCACAGCATTGACACAAGGCAGCATGCCAAGAGACAGCCATGTGGGCAAGTGGGGGCCCCAAATGCATGCTAGTCACCCAAGAAAAGGGTTCCCTGACTGATGCCATGTCTTGAATAGATACTGGATTGCTATAGTTTGTTCCTGTGCTCTGAGGCCAAGAGTGAGTAATCGGAGTGTCCACTGCCTGTCGAAGAGAGATGGTATTTCTCTTAGGTGCCAGCCCTGCCTTTCCCGCTTATCCCGTCTGAATTCAAGTACATAATGGAACAGAAGCAAAGTGGCAAAAGATGGCCATGAACAGGATTGGTTCCAAAAATGGGATGGGAACAGTCTAAGAACTTGCCACAGGGTTTAAAAGATGGAGCGTGAACTGTATTGCAGGAGATACAGTCCACGGGGTGACACCTAGTGCTGCGGGTGCTAGGAACAGAGCCTCGGTGTTTCTGCTGCTCCTGATGTCCACTCTCTCCTATCCGAAGGTAACAGAACCCCCAGCTTTTAAGTGGGGGTGGCCGCGCAGAATAAAGACTGCATTCCTTGCAGCAAGGTGTGGCCGTGTAGCTAACAGTGGGATGTGAGGGGAAGTCAGGTGTATAACTTCCAGACATGTCCCTAACAGTGGAGGGGGGGAGCACATTCGTGCCTTCTTTCCCTATCCTGCATCCTTAGTTTGGAATGTGAAATGGCTGGAGAACCACCTCGGATCACAAGGACAGGACCGCACCTTAGACATGGTGAAACGGAAAGTTGTTAGATGGTGGTCACAGAGGACTGTGACCTCACAACACTAATCCTAACCTACCTATATACAAACTCTTAAGAGCAGAAAAAAAACTTTGATCTTCATGTGGGCCAGCGTTACTTTGGGGCTCAGCTGCACAGGACTATAGGGCTGCGGAGCGTCCAATGAAGTGCTGAGAAAAACAACATCAGAGGTCAGCACTTTGCCACACATAGCACCAAGGCCACAAGGGGACACATCCAATCTGGTTCGTAGGTTATAAAGAGCTGCCTGACTTCTGCTGGTGAAATGGGAGGGCAAAGGGAATCAAAAATGATAATTTTCCAGGGGCTGGCCCGGTTGCCTAGTGGTTAAGTTCGTGCACTCTGTTTCTGTGGCCCAAGATTCACAGGTTCAGATCCCAGGTGTGGACCTACACGCCACTCATCAAGCCATGCTGTGGAGGCATCCCACATATAAAACAGAGGAAGATGGGCACGGATATTAGCTCAGGGACAATCCTCCTCAAGCAAAAAGAGGAAGATTGGCAACAGATGTTAGCTCAGGGCCAATCTTCCTCACAAAAAAAAAAAAGAGACAATTTTCCAGTTAACAATAAACATAATGAATATCTTACCTTTTTCTTGCTACAATATATCTGCCATTTTTTCTCAGCTGGAAGCGCAAACATGGCCTCCCTGTGTTTGTCTGTGAGGTCAAGTTCATCCTGAGAAGAAAAATAATAATTAGTATTTCATAGATTAAATGTTATTCCCATAGGGGAAGTTATCAGCATCATCAGGGAGAGACAAAACCACGAGCACGTATTTCAACGAACTGGGGAAAGAGCAAGAAGCGAACTTAAGGTGCATGTTACCACCACTCAGAAGGCACAGCCCGGCGAGAAGCAGGCCCTGCACCGAATGAAGCTTCAGGTAGGGGGCGGAGCACGGACAGAGCTATCCTGAGCACGGGGACTGCGGCAGAGGGCCCACTGAGCAGTAAAGGCCATCAGGCCTCTTGAGTTTGGAAGGATTAACTGCATTAGAGACAAGGCTTTGCTGGGGCCACCTCCACAAACACCGAATATCAGCCTGGGCCCTGAAGGCCCTGGACGCGAGGAGAGGAGCGAGGGACAGACCCAAAGGCCGGGATGTGGTAACAGACTCAGTGAGTGTGGGGGACACCGACCAGCTTGGCTGAAGCACTAGGATTGTGCAACGAATCATCACGTTAAAGCTTTGAGAGGCAGGCAGTGACCAGTTTGTGGAAAGTCTTAAATGCCAGACTAAGGTGTTTATTCTCTGGACAAAGGCACCAATGAGGTTCTGAGCAAGGGAGACATCTTCATCACCATGAACTCCACTAAGATTTACTCAGCACTTGATGTGCCAAGCATCATGCATTTTTGCATTTGGTTCTCAAAACAACCCTAAGAGTTCCACTCGTTATTACATCCTCGCTGTAATAATAACTCCTGTTGTAATACAGCTGGGGGAAATTTAGGCGTAAGATTGGGTAACTTGCTCAAGACCACACACCTGGCAAATGATGGGGCTGGGTTTTCAGCCCAGAGCTGTCTGACTGCAGAGCCCAGACTCACCCTCTCAGATCACTGTCTGGAAACATTAATTTACACTGGTACAACTTAGATTGGACACTAAGGGAAGGCAACTTACAAGCATCCATAACTAGTGATTAACAACAATGGGATAACGAATACAAAGTCCTTAGAGAAAAGTCCTTGGCATTTAATACCTCAATCTATGGTCAGTATTATTACTGGTATTGAGTGTTTGGTACACTTTTATCCCTACAGGGAAAGTGATTTAGTTGAGGGTGGCAGATTGGTGGATGTAAGACAGACATATAAAAGATGCTATGAATTAAGGCACAATAAGGTTTAGACCCCTGAGGAGCACAAACGAGCCCCCGTCTGAATACCTTCAGTGTTCATCTGCAATTCTGCCCCTCGTGGACACTGGCTTCGCATCTTAGCCCCCTACCTCCGTTTAGTCAGCAAGTCCTATTATCTCTTCCTTGAGAAGTTCATGATTTTCCTCTTGTTTCATTCCCAATGAAACCACCCAAACTTATGCCTGAACACCCTCTCCCTTGGCTTCTGGCAAGAGCCTCCACACTGTTCCTCTTCACCCTTCCAGCCCTTCCTACGGCACGGCCAGAATGCATTAAGGCAATGATTCTCAAACTTCAGTGTGCACCAGAATCAGCAGGAGGACGCCCTAAACCACGGAGTACCCAGCGTTTAGGATGGAGCAGGTGGGAGAAAGTGCAAGAATTTGCATTTCTAGGAAGTTTCCAAGTGTTGCTGATACTGCTGGTCCAGGGACCAAGCTTTAAAACCTTTGCCTTAAAAATAGAACACCTGTGCTGTTTTGCGCTCCCAGTTCAAAAAGCTTCATTAGTTCCACATTGCCTACAAAATTAACTATAAGTTCCTCACTCTGCCTTTGAGGTCTTCCATTTATCACCCAGCTGACTTTGCCAGGTGCACTTCTGGTTATCCCCTTATGCCCTATCTTGTTAACACCTACACCTCCAGGGCCTGGCCACTCAGGGCCTGATACATGCTAGCTTCCCAGGGAAGTTCTTAATCCCATAAGCCCCTGCTTCCTCACCTCAAATCATGGGCATATCATTCCTCTTGCAGGGCTGCTGTGAAGATTAGTGACATCAAGTAAGCATGCAGTAATGCCTGGCACAGGGAAGGCAACTGTACTGTTGTCATTTCTCTCATTATTTAAACACAAATCAGGTGCTATTTTCTTTTAAGAAAAAGGTAAACAGTTAAGTCACTAAAACATACACCCATACACCCACACACTATTACACCCTAATCACATGAAACTAGTTAAGACTTTCAACAATGAACAACCAGGGAAGGAACTAAAGATATTTACAAAAAATTCTATTATGAGGGAACATGCTAAAATTTTGGCATGCAACTATTATACATGTGAAGCAATTATTTTTCTTCCTGTTTTAATTTCCTGTAAGTCACACCTGCTTTCACCTATTGATGAATGGGGAAAATAATGTGACATAAATCACTTCTCAACAATCAGGGTTTTTAGAGGGGAGAGGGGTCAGCTCAGTTATTCAAACAGCTCGATAACATGCTGAATAGTTTGGGGAAAAGGTCTGTGATTTGTGAGAGAGAACGGGGCTATTAATGTTGCATCCTTTAATACATTACAACACTGTGTTTTTGCTAACTGAGCGGAAGTGTTAAGAAATGTGTGAATCCTAAAACCTAGAAATTCACAGCAAAGGGTATGAATATCAACATATTTTGCTGTTAGGGATAGGAAACTTCTGCTTCTGCTGAGACACAGAAATGACCAATTTTGAATTGAGAGAACACAGTTGAAGCAGGCCGTAAGGGCAGATGGGTTCATGCAAGAATAGAATTTCCACAAAATAAAGAAATAAAAAATTGCTATAGGGTCTCTGGATGTAATTTCGGATTACAGTAAGAAAATGGGAGGAATAAATGGATACTGGTAATAGTGACAGTTAAAAATTATTGAGCACTTTCTGTGTGCTTGTTCTAATGTATTGTATGAATTAATTTAGTTTATCTTCACAACAATCCTATAAAGTGGATAATGTTACCCCATTTTCCAGGAAACTGAATCACAGATTAAACAGCTTGCTCAAGGTAATAAAGCTAGTAAATGCTGGAGGAGGAACTTGAGTCTAGGCTGTCTGGTTACAGAGCCCACGTTCAAAGGTGAAAGCGGGACACACCCCTCCGCCGCACTCACCGCCCACGAGGCCCAGGCCTGGCTCCCATGGGGTATGCAACCCTGGACAAGTGACTTAACCTCTGAACTTCCATTTCTTCACCTGGAAAGTGAGAATGATAATATATATCTGATCGCGTTCTCTCAAGGATTCATTCATGCAACCAAAAAATGTTTTTGATGTCTGTTAAATGCCAGGCATTATGTGAGGTGCGGGGTACAGAAAGACATCACAGAGCTCATATTCTCTGGTGGGCAGGAGAAGTCAAGTGAACCTGTATACTGAGGATGGCCACACAGGAAGCCGAGCTCTGGGAGCCCCCTTGGTGGGGGGGGGGGCGGGGGGGGGGGGGGGGGGGGGGCGGAGGCTTCCGGGGGCAGTGAAGTGAGAGCTGAGAGCTGCATGGGAATTCAATAGGTGAAAAGCACTGCAGCCAGTGAGCAGCAGCTTTGAAGGACAACATGAATTTTGGTCTTTCTCCTAAGAGCAAGCAGAGGTCACCGGCAGATTCTGAGCAAGGAGAGTGACATGGATTAAGTTAGATAATAACTGGGAGTGCCTAGGCACAATGCCCAGAGTGTAACAAGACCCCGACGCCTCCATTCCAAAAGTGCCTCTGCTCTGACTCATTCCATGTTAATAATGTGGCTGAACCAAGCATTCAAGACTCGAGACCATCACAGCCTCAGGGATCAATCAACACTCACTCGCTGTCATACCCATTCCAGGACCACAGCCAGATATTACAAAGACTACAGAGATGAATAACAGACCCTGATGTCACGGAACTTAAATCTAGTTAGGAAGATAAGATGATAGAAGACTTCAACAGTTCCCTTCCAAGATAAAGTCCAAATTCCTCAGCTGGTAGGTAGAGGCCCTTCATGATGTGGCCTTTGCCAACTTGGTCCCTCTCCCCTCCTCTTCCTCCACCAGCAGCCACTTTTTAGCACTTCTGATCACAAGCTGCCCACTTCTGAAACTTTTGCACATGCTGTTCCCTTTTCTCAGAGAGCCCTTCCCACCAGGTCTAAGGATCAATCCTATTCATCTAAGCTTTTACAAGGCATCAACTATTCCCTCCAGGCAGCCTATCCTGACTTTCCTGGAGTGGGGAGCTCCTCTGTGCTCCCTTGTCCTTAGGGCATTTAGCACATTGCTACTGTTATCTCATTGGCATGTCTGACTCCCATTCTGGAGTCCCAGAGTGCAGGAACTAAATTTTTCTATTCACCTTGCATTAATTGCCAAATTAATTTAATTATGTCCCCAAAGCAATATCTGACATAGCTGGATTGCCAAAAAAATAAATGAAAAAATAAGGTGGAGGAAGTTGGAGAAGCAGGGAGGGAGGGGGGAAGGAGGGAAGAAGACAGGGGATTATTGAAGGATATAGTGATGATCAACTCATTTCAAAGATTAAAACCCATTCTTTAAATGTACATAGAGTGAATGTACAGATCCAAGTACACAATGTTGAGTTTGGCAAAGGTATACCCTGAAGGGGCTGTAGCACTTTACTCTTCCGTTAGCAATGTATGGTGGGTCCAATTACTCCACGTTCTCACCAACACTTGGTGCTGTCATTTTAATTTTAGCCATCTCGTTTACATGAAGTGGTATCTCAATGTAGTTTTCATTTGCATTTTCTCGACAACTGATGCTGAATATGCTTTTCCACATTTATTAGCCATTCGTATGTGTCTTTTGTGAAGTATCTACTCAAATCTTTTGCCCATTTTTATTGAGTTGCCTGTCGTCTTATTGAGTTAAAGACTTTTTTACATATTCTGGAAACATGTCCTTTGTCAGATTTATACAGTTGACCCTCTGCATCCACGGATACAGAGAGCCGACTAAGGGAGTGGAGCAACCAAGGACTTTGGTATCCCAAACCAATCCCTCATGGACACCGAGGACAACTGTACCGAGTCTATTTCTCCTAGCCTGTGCCTTGCC